TTTTGCCAGCTACGACAGCTCCCAAATCTGTCTACCTATCCATCTATCTGTCTATATCTATATGTCTGTCTGTCTGTCGGTCTGTCTGTTGGTCTATCGATCGATCGATCTATCTATCTATCTATCTCTGTCTTTCTTTTGTCTGTCTTTCTGTCTGTTTGTCGTTCTTCCTTTCTTTCTTTTTTTCTTCATGTCTTTTTGTCTTTCTTTCTTTCTTTCCTATCTACCTCTCTACCTATCTACCTCTCTACCTATCTACCTATCTATCTGTCTATCTATCTAGCTATCTAGCACGTGCCAGGAAATCTGCACTTCAAGGTCCACAAAGTACTGTGCCTGCCACGAAATCTGCACTCCAAGGCCCACAAAGTCCTGCACCTGCCATGAAAACTGCACTTCAACATCCACAAAGTCCTGCACCTCCCACGAAATATCTGCACTTCAAGGTCCACAAAGTACCGCGCCTGCCACGAAACACGAAAACAAAAAAAGCAAGAAAACATCCTAAATTAAATCCGGGCCCTTTGTTTAATCGAGTTGGTTGGCCCAAGGTAATCCAAGGAGAGTGAACCGAGTCAAGCCCACCAAGCATTTGGGATTGAGTAGTAGCAGTAGCAGTAGCAGAAGTAGTAGCAGTAGTAGTAGCAGCAGTAGTAGTAGGAGCAAGTTTGCCAAGATTACCTACGAATCACACCCCGTAAACAATTTTAATTATATATGAACTTCCCCTGGGCGTGTGTACTACCCCGTTGAACAGTTGCCTGCAGCAATGAAATCAATGAGTTTTTGTATGGGTGTGTTGAGCAATGTGTTCAGGTAAGATTTCCACAAATCAAGCGAACCTCAGAAGAGTTGATCGACAACCTTAAAGGGCAGGAATAGACAGACAATAGAAACGTAAGCTCGGGTATTTTTCCTAGAGCGAACAAATTTTGTTTATTCCCACCCACTAAACTGTTCAGGGTGTGGGTGTGCAAAAACAGTGTGTTTTTATTCCCTCCAGCTTGACTATATAATAATCAACATTGCCAGGTGATCCTTAGGCCATTGACTCCTTGAACCATCAAGCAGCAGAGACGTTTGTCCTGTACATTCGAATGGTGCCGATGGAACCATCCAACTTTTGAGCCCTGCGGGTTCTTTGAAGCCTGCAGCGTCAGGGCTAACGATTAACTAGACTAGGCCCTGTGGATATGCATATGTACATAAGTAGTATATATATACGTCACTGGTGGTGGCGGTGGTGGAAACATCCCAGACGTAATTCTGGTTTCTTCTCTTTACACCGAACCCGAATCTCAGCATGTGTTTATTTCAAACAGGTTGGGCTGTTTTCCAAAACATAGTTCTGCACGTTGACTTTGCTTAAATAGTAGTTCGAAGCTCCAGTCCCTTTGGAACAATAGGTCAATAGGTCCTGTTTCCAGGGGCCAACCTGAACCTACTCAGTAACGTATACGGTACCGTAAGTGGTACCCTATCTATTCCAACAACACTTCCATTTTGGCACTTGTTTGCTGACTTTGACTTTGGTCCACCTGAAGTGCTTGACCAAGGATACGGACCCCATTGGCTCCCTTTGGGCCAAGAACTGGATGGTGGCCATGAGCACTTGGCCCGCCTATGCCCGGCCCGTGCCGCCCGTGGCAGATGCGGGTATCGAAGCAGTTATCATTGGCAACTTGCACGATCCAAACACGGCCTATGAGAATCCTGGTTTTGCTTCTCGGGTGTTCTTTTGTTTCAATGTTCGGATCGTGGGTAAATCCGCTGTCGGGGTGGAGTTGTTTTTTTTTTTTGGTGCGGTACTCAAGCAATCAAAGGAATGCGCAGTTGTTGAAGAGGAACTTCCCGGAAGGCTACCTTGTGACCTGGCAAGGTTACGGTCATTGCCTGACCGTGCCCCAGCATGCCATGACCCTTTTGAAAAGTTACAACAAGTCGAAAGCAAACAACACACTTCCTGAATACACCAATGGAGTTGCTAAATATGCTTGCATGTCCAAGATTCTTTCATATCTTGAGACTGGCACGGGCATTACCGACGGGCACACGTGCCTGATGCCTGAGCCTTTGAGACTGGGCAGTGCTGCAGCAGCGGAGGTTCGAATTCACATTGAGTAAAACTAGCAGATCCGTCCGGTTGTCGCAGCAAGAAAGGTGGCGTGAAGGGAACCTGGACCTGGAGGTCAAAACTACCGGGGAGACTCCTGCTGGTTGCCATCTAAAAGTTTTAGATCCTTTTAGATTCTACAGCCACATTCTTGTAATGATGTATTTTGGGGCAGACTATTGTACTACTGTCGGTGGAAGCTGGAAATTTGACTCCTGTTTTGTTGGACGTTGCCGAGAACCTTCGCAGTTATGAGAGATACTTTTGTGAGTGTCATGCCACTTGCATCATGTGCCCACCACGCACACCATAGCCAACTCCACGTCCAAACGAAAGTATTTCCTTGCGACACTAGATAAACACTACTGTAGATGAAATAGGGCTGCTGATAGTGGTTGCATTGAAGGTCGACAACCCCCCTGAGGCAAACCTGCGTCTCAGTTTCTTTTGAGTTTCCAATGGACACGTGCTTGCTGCAGGACATGAAAGAGAAGGAGTTCGTTGCAGGTCGCAAAGTCCCAGTGAGACAGAGACAGGTACACAAGCAGCACACCAACGAGGCTGCCCGTGAAGGGATTTTGCCAATCGTAGTTGCAGAATGTTTGTTGTTATTCAATGCATTCATTCATCTCATCCATAGCGTCACGCATTTGCGAGCGCTGTTAGCTGGCAAACCGGAAGTAGGCCAGAGCAGGAAAATCCAGTTTGTACTTAATCTTAATGAATCGTTTAATATATATATATATATGTGTCTTAATGCTTGTGTTTGGTGTTAGCTCAGGGATGATCTTCGCACAAAGAGCTTCCCATTGTTGCTGAAAACATTTGAAGACACGTGACACGAACAGTAAAAAAGCAAGATGCTGGACGGTGTAGACTGCAGCTTGACTGTGATTCGCAGGCAGGCAGAGTCCAGACACTTGGCTATTGTAGTTAAGGGCATTGCTCAGATTGATGTGAGACGGCCCATCACGGTTGGTTTCACCAGCAACCTGTTTGCTGTAGCGCGTGTCGTCATGTTGTCGCCACTATGAGGAACCTTAGTATTGTGTCCCGAGCGGCGCCAGAATGGATGAAGACACTTGTCCTGCAAAGTTGAATTTATGCGTTAAACTCTTGGTCTAGAAGTCTAGAAGGCTAGATAGTCTGGAGCAATCAGATCAGAAGACCATACGCCACAATCATTGTTCCTCTTGAAATCTGCGGGCTTTCGATGGCCACCTTGGAACCGTTACCCACTTTTGCACTGGTTGAAAGTCAGGTCGCCTTTTGAATCCAATCGGACGTATTTTGAGGACGTAGGCATCGCCCAGGGCAAGGACTGCAAGCTTTAACTTTTGCATCACTTCTGTAAGAATAGCAGCCAGACTTTGCTTCATATGGACAAGTATGGGCCTTATACCAAGACCTTGGATCTTTTGAGTTGAATCGAAACACTTTTCTTCTTCACAGTTCACTTGTCCTTTTTGTCGCGTTTGCCACACCCGCCGCTTCGTGCAAACGACGAGCATTGTGCCTCGCAGGAACTGGTCCGTTCGAGGTCAGCACCACCATCGACCAAAGTGGCTCCAAGCGAGGAGCAACCCGAGGTGCAAGCGGAGATGGGGGTGCCAGGGCAGGTGACGGAGCTCCCTTACGATGCTGACAAGGCGACGGTGGAGCCTGAGGTCAAGAGCAAGGCCAGGCGCAGAAAGGCTGTTGGAAATGAAAGGCATTATATACACACACACAATCACACACACACGTATATATATATATATATACAGCAACATAGGGCAACGACATTACAGCATAGCCTACTGTTGGGTCCGGAAGTGCTTTTTACTAACATGTTGTAACCTTTTTGTCAGCCGAAGACCAGAGAGACTGGCAGGGACTTCCATGTCATGCTGAGCAACGTAGCGAGCGTCGACGGAAAAGTGCCTCTACCATTTCATCAACTTCAAGAGCTTCAAAGAGGACCCACGTATTTGCCACATGCTGATGCTACATATTCACCTGTTTGCCGACTGGATTGATCATGCCGTAGGCAAATACACGTATTGGGGATGTATTGACACTGTGGCCGAAGTGATTTTTTCTCATTTTTTGCAACACTGGCAATGAAATTGTTCAGTGCCCTGGGCCGCATGAGGTTGCAGTAGCTCGTGGTGTTGATGTAGAGAATGTAGAGAATTTTCCCCGTTGAAGACTTCTTTTAGAATTGTACCGTGGTGCTGATTGGTTTTTGTTGTGCTTGAGTTTGCCTTTTCTCTCGTTTCATGTTAATCTCCTCCCCGTAATTATTTCATACCATCCCCAATGATTCTGTTGCAGATCATCTTCCAAAGCGTCGGTGTGTGAGGAGCAGCAGTGCAAGCGCTACATACTCCGCACGTTATCAGAAATCACGGTCGATCGGCTCCATGGGGTGCCTGGGCAATCCTTGGCGCGTCAGGTGACACCGAGTCTTTAACCGTTGCGTAAGGTGACACCGATGAACTCAAGGCCAAGAAGCTTGAAACGAAGAAGACTGAATCACAGGCACGCAAAGGATGGGCGGAATGCCCCGTTTTTTGCATGTGTTTTGTGTTTTGAATTGTGCCCTGGAAAGGCGCCGATGTGCTGTATATGATGTGCTGACTGGTTTTCCGGAATGTCGCTACGATGGGCCCTCCCATGCCAGAGCTTCCAGTGACGATAAGTGACCCCTCAGGGCATCTCAGGGCTGTCACAAAGCAGGTGAGCTTTGCAGGGATTCCTTCCCTGACGAGCTTTGACATGGGCAGTACAACAGAGACGATGTGTGCAGGATATGTGTCAGTTTGTGGTTGGTAGGCTCAGCAACCCAGTATGCTCAGTATGCTTTCACAGGAGTGCCTTCTAGCCCAAGGTTGGTTTCTCACGTTTCATTATTTTCGGAGAACGATGGTGGTGGTTTTGGCTGCGAGGGTCTGAGCATAGCCTTTAGCCTTAGCGAGCGGGTCAGCCACAAAGAGTTTCAGTAATATAATGCGGCTGTTGCTCTGGGCCACAAAACTTTTACCTTTTAGCTAAAACACAGTAAGGAAATCATGGCTGACTGACTGTTTTTGCTGAGATTTGCTGGTTCATTGGGCCAAGAGGCCTAATGTGTACCAGTGTTTTGCTGGAAGATATGCTACACTCTCCTCAAAGTTGTTCCTTTTTGTGCAGGTCAAGAGCTTAGGCAGTTTGTATGCGAATTTTCGGCGGTGTTGATCCACCATTTGGACGAGTGAAGCATAGCCTTTCAGATGTATGGCTTCAAGAATGTCGGTTTGCGGGAGTCATTCCTTTAAGGATCTCTCATGCTGACGAAAGCCTTAGGCTTCGGCGAGCAGCGCGAGCATTCTGGCACCTGCAGACGAAAGGTTGTCCTGGACATGCCAAAGGAAGGATAAGTTGACATGGCACCATGGCTGAACCATGCTCCTCATGCTCAATGCAACGCCAAAGGTTCACACCTTGATCACGGCTCAAACTATGGGGACGAGACAAGTTGTAGACCAGCCACAGTTCGGAATGTAATTGTTATGTATTATAGATGCACATGTATGCACGCTATCATCAAATATGGTAGTAGTAGGTTGAATCATCCTGACAGGAATGCAAGGCACCACCAGAAAGCGGTACATACATGGCTACTCTATTTGTGGTACATACGACCGTCGCACAATGAACCATTTCAACTATTCCACGGAATCAGATGCAAGCTTACCAACTTGGCATTCATTGGTATTGGTTCACTAGGTATGCAGCCTATAGTAGACATGAGCAGACGGGAAGGATCTACTCCTCAGGCAACCTGGGGAAGTAAAGTAACTTTGCGCCAAGCCAACCCCAGTGAGCTTTGCTACTGCCAGGATCCGAAGCTCCCTTATACTTTGGAGCCAGTGGTTTTTGCCTCAGCCTATGAACTTGTTTCTTCCTGCAACTGTTTGTGCAGGAGTCTCATGAGAGCTTCCCTAAGGATGGCGGGAAGCACTGCATCACTTTCACTGTGCTGGGTGCTTACGGGGTCTTGAACGTTCAATTCCTTCCTATCATGGAACTGCATGTTTCACCGGACGCAGGAGTGCGCCCTAAATCGTCGTAGAACAGATGGTGCTATCGTGTGGGAACGGCCAGCTTCTATGTATACAGGTCCTTCCATCCTCAACAAGGTCATGTCATTCACGCCCATAGCGCAACCAATGCGGATGCATTTCCTTTGGACAAGGCCTAGAGATGTTGCTGGGAGATTGGCTGCGCGCCCAGTCGCAGCCAATGGAGGGCTCTTCGAACTCAAAGAGGCGACGGGAATTCCTCGGCGACGGAGGCACAGGTGATATAGGTTGACAGTCAGACATCATCAAGTAAAAAATGCTTTGAACCTGCAACCAACCAGTTCGCCAAAATCGCGTTGTCATTCTTGGTGAATTCTACGGATCCATCACCTATACCAGCCGAATCCGTTGCCAGGTTCGAGTCAATGGCCAGCACCGTTTGCAGACCGTCGGAGCCCACACGGGGCGTGTGTGGGCGTTTGTCTCATGTGCCTGTCAAAAAGCAAGGGTGATCCCCTCTTGGGACTCCAAAGTAGTAGTATTGTATACATTAAAAAACAATCTATTTGCATTCCCTGGTGTTCTTTTTTTCTGGTAATTGTAGATTGCGGTTAATTTTTTGTCACGTGTGACGTGTGTTATTTTCTTATTTGTTTTTTTGCCCGTGGCCGTGCCTTTGCGACTAGTTAGCTATTACATATGGACGCAGGATAGGAAGGAAGGAAGGAAGGAAGGAATCAAGGAATCAAGGAAGCTGTAATCTTTGCAGGTTGTCCGTGCCTTTGTCTTTGTTTCCGCTTTGTTCCCAGTTGTTGGCATTTTCCCGAAACTAGATGCTTCTACTTGTTTGTAGTAGTCTTTCCTCGTTGTCCTTTTTCCTTTCCATTTCCCTGTCCTCTCCTTTTCATAGTCCTTTCCTTTTCCTTCCCTGATTCTTTGTTCAATTTTGCTGTGCTTGGTTTTTTCAATGAAAAGGCATGAAAAGGGAAAGCCCGTGCTTGGCGCCATGAATGGTTTACAGGTTGTTCATACTGTATATGAATATGTGTGGTTCCAATGGCAGCATGAGCATGATGATGAGCCCAAGTTAGTTCAGTTAGTTCAGACATGTTCAGACTTATCCTATGTCTCATGGTTGTCCCGCCAATATATATACAAATATTAAAAATACGAGAGAAGAACATATCTATAATATAATATATATAAGGTACATACAAAGTTCAACTGTGACAAATACCTTTGTTTTTTCACATTTCAACCCTTCCCAGCCATCCATTCTCATTCAGGTGATCTACTCTCCGAAGCCTGAGAACACGGCAGACGCGATCAGCAAGGCACTTTTCTATAGCTTTGGTTGTTTGCAGGGAAATGACCATTTTTTGCCTAGCAATCTACATGTCTATGCACCTAGCCCTCTTTTGGCTGAGAAAAGGCACGCAGCCGGCTTGCATGGTAGCGGAGCAAGGTTGCTCCTGCTCCTGTAAGACAGGGTAAGACCCGCGCGTGGGCGCCCGCGTGGAGGACACCCTGTAAGTCCATGACGTGGCGGGGGCACGGCACCAATCCTACTTGAAGGGGGTGGCAGGCATCGCTGAGGCTGCCCCACTGACTCATCCTGCTCCCTTCACCTTAGGTCACCTTAGGCGATGGTTTGGCTATGGATGCTGGCGGAGGACAACTAGAACAAGCTCAGGTGCAGCAGCAGCAGCAGCAACACTTCCAGTTCAACAGGTAGGCTCAGGACTGATCGACACGCAGGGGATTGGCAAACTTAGGAGTTACGTTAAAACAGCTTCGCAGGGAAGAAAGAAGAGTGGGGATCGTGGGTCTTCGTTGCTCGAGGTTTTTGAACTTGCCAGACACAAGCTACCAGGCTTTGATTGAGGCTGCGGAGAATGCAAGCAGGTCCGGCGCATGGGCGGGCATGCGCAGGAGAAAGCTATCATCCTGTTCAATCTCCTCACTCAGAGGGCTGATGGCCAGGCTTGAGTCTGTGAAGGAGAACCATGACTTCCGGAAATCCATGGAGTTGGGACGTCTTGACGAGAACAACGAAGGCGACAAGGGGAAGACGGGCGGCAAGTCCAAGAATGACAAGTATGTCAGCAAGGGTGGCAAGTTCGACAAAAAGGAAAAGCCACCTGCGCCAGCAAAAAATCAATCGTGAGTGCTTCTATTGTGGAAAGTGGGTCACAAGCTCTTGGCCCAGGACAAAGCCCAAGGCATACCAATGCCATCACATCAAGATCTTCCAGTGCAGCTGCCGGATCCACTTCACCTAGCAGAGTGCAGAGGACCAGTGCTGTGTACTTTTGGCTTTCTGATGTTGCTGGAGAACGTTTGGACTGGGCAGATACTGACGACTCGTGTGAGATTGAGGGCAAGAAGCTCTCAGACTGGCACTTGCTATTGGCTCTGGTCACGCAAAGATCAAAAATGCTGTGTGGGTCAGAACCCGCAAGCCAGATGGTTCAGGGTGTCGGTACTGTCAGGGAGCTCATAAAGAGGAGATCCCAGAACAGAGTGTTTGCGGTGGCGTCTAGTACTTTGACTTCTCATTTGATCGACATTGGTGGGCATCATTAAGATGGGCTACAGCTTCTTGAGCGCATTTTTGGCAGGCGCCCATCGCTGAAGAGGCCTTTGTGAAGCCACCCTGAGCTGATTTACCAGATCGAGTGTTGTGGAAGCTCAACGCAGAGTGGTATGGAAGACGCGCTTGTCGAATGGGCAGCTGAGCATCTCAAGGAGGTTGACATCAAGCGGAATCCAGCAACTCCATGGCTGTTCTTCTACAACTCCACTCCACCAGTGGAGTGTTGATGGAAGTGCACGTGGACGACTTCTATGCCACAAGGCCAAGGAAGGCTTTGGAAATCCACTCCATTAATAGATTCACCTTCTACGCTAGGGTGAGAAGTTGCGCGGGGCAAGCCTGAAAAACCTATAGGGCAGGCGTTGCCATCGCCCTTTACGTATTTTTTACATTTCGATGGCAGGACGGATGTGCAATTTGCCGTTCGTAAATTTACCAAGGACATGAAGGCGCCAACAGGTGGAAGCATGCGCAAGCTGCATAGGGCGCGTTGTGTGGCTGCCAAAGGGCTTCTTTGGCTTCCCACTCCAGATGGAGGTTTACCCCGGTTGCAGCGCGGCAAGGGAATCTGCCACAGACACGGAGTTGGGAGGATCAGCGCCTGGAGGTGAAGTCATTGTGGGTGCAAGATGCAGTGGACCGAAAGCTTTTTAGCCTGCGCGCAGTGCCATGCGACAACACCGCAGACTTTGGGAAGTAGGGTTGAGCGACAAGATTCAATGAGCTCGAGCAGCTTCGGTTGAAGCTGGGCAGTGGCCTGGAGGAGGAGACCACGTATGCAGAGCAAAACAGATCACTGAGCGCATCAGTTCCATTGCCTCAGTGGATTTGGCAAGAGAGATTTGCTGACCTTTTGCGGGGTGCATGAGCCCAATGCGGAGTCTTGGCGATCATGCAGAGCACTGTGCTTTGGCGCTTCAAGCACATGGCTTTCAGCGGTGGCTTGAGCACATGGCTTTCAGTGAGGCCAGAGAAAAATGAGAAGGGGGTCATTCACAAGCGCACAAGAGAGAGTTCATGCAGCTGAGGGGCTGCAAATGCTGTCCCAGAAACGGCCTCTGAAAGGCGTCCTTGCAG